CTATTGGGGTCTTAGCATTTTCTGCTCGGGGATTAAAAGTGTAAAATGTGCTTGAGGCCATGGGAGAGCTGCCTGTATTTGCGAGGCCTATTTATTAACATCCCTGGCTGGGAAGACCAGGACTTCCTGGAAGCGACAAGTGAGGTATGGAAATGTTTCTGTAAACAGTCTCTGGAAGACAGTACCAGCTTTCTAAGATGTTTGCTGGCGATAACACCAAGCTTAGGATTCCTGGGGGAGTTTTCTTTAGCGAAAGTGATACTGAACTGAAGGAGGGCAGATAATTAAGAGATGAGGGGGAACCATTAACTCCAAATATCCCAGCATTCCTGGCCTGGGGTTGAAAGAAACTAGCAATTTAGATATAGATGGAGATGGGGGAATGGTGTCATTGTTCAGAAAATAGACTTTGCAAGGAAGCTGCGCTCAGGGGCCTTTTGTGTTCAACTGGCCCCCAAGCGCCAATGATACACAAACATTACAGAAGGGAAAAGCTGTTTCTCTTTCCTCCGTGTCCCCAGTTGTACCAACAGCTGAGGCCCAAACTGCTGCGTGTGAGTCAGTTTCAACCTGAGGACTTGGGGCTCTGCAGAGGCCTGTTCAGGGCTTGTGCTCCGGGCGCTGTCTGCCCCTAACAGCTGTGTGACCTCGGGCAAGCCGGCAAACACACTGGCAGACCAGTCCTTGCAAGTGCATGGTCAGCAACTTCAAATGGTCACCCCAACTGCTGGCAACCCTACTCTGCCTCCCTTGTGAGAAGGATGTCCCACCTTATCCTCGGTTCTCCTCACTTTGTCTCAGCTCTGTCTTCATGTGTCTGGGTACACCCAACCCCGCTTCAAGGACTTTGCTCCTGGGTAACCCCTCCTCTCCATGTCATCCGTTTCTCCCCTTCTACAGGTCATTGTCATCAACACAGAGACCCAGTTTTGTACCCTCCATATTTGGACAAAACCGTCTCTTGACCCCTCTCTTCCCCTCGATGCCCCATGTCTCTGCTCCCTTTGCACCGAGACTCTCAGCTGGCTTCCTCCCTCCTGCGGGCCACGCCTGCTCAGGCTGCTGTGTCACCCGCCTCTCTGCCCAACTTCCAGTGCCGGAGCCTCCCCAGGCTCAGTCCTCCTCCCTCCTTTCCAGTCTGAGCGGGACACCAGCTTGGGGCACGTGGCACCAGGTACTCAGTACTCCGTGGTCCACGCAGAACCCCAGCCCGCTCAGATTCCAGGGAGGGACTCCGTCTCCACCTCTCAGCGGAGGAGCAGAGACTCTGCGGCCACCGGGCTGGACACCCAGAAGTCCGCCTCCACTTCTCCTCTCTCCCGCCACATCTGATCCTGAAGCAGTGCTGTCCGTTCCGCCCTCAGAACAGTCTCGAACAGGTCCGCGTCGCTGCCTTCCCGCGGCCACCAGCCTCGTTCAGGCTTCCTGTCTGGGTTACACCAGTGCCTCCTCCCTGGCCTCTCCGAATCCACTTGCACCTTGTGGTCTGCAGAGCAGCCCCCATGGGCTCTTGCACTTGTGAAATCTCTCAGCAGTCAGAAGGCACTTCCAGCTCCTTACTTCTGCCTGAGGGTCCTGCCTGATGGGCTCCAGCCCACCTCCCGGCCTCTGTCTTGCTCCTCTGACCCCCCTGTTCACTGTGGTGCAGTCTCTCTGGGTTTTCTTCTGATTCTCAGGCAGGTCAACTTGCGCCCAGCCTCGGGCTTTTGCTCATGCTGATCCGGCTTCCTGGGCCGCCCTCCTCTGGGCTCCAGGAAGAGCTGCCTCTTTCTGGCCCTACATGTCTCTGCTCAGAAGTCTCTCCTCTCTGCGACCTCCTCCGCACTGCTCCAGGTTCCTATGCCACGTGCAAGTCTTCATAGCACTGCACACTGTGGCCTGACTCACTGGGGTCTTTGTCTGCTTATTTATTTGTCTGTCTTCCCATTCATTTGCAGACTTCACGACAGCGGGACCTGAGTCTGGCTCGACCCTGCACACTCAGCACCTAGCACAGAGCCCGGCACACAGGAAATGCTCGACAAATATTTGCTGAACGAATGAGAAAATCAGACAATAAAGCTGGCCACAGCTCTGTACGATGCCCTCCATGTGGCCCCAATCTTACCCACCGCAAGCTTCAGCGTGCTACGGCGGGACAACATTCTGCCTGTCCCACAGCCCTGCAGGCGGTGCTTTTCCGAAGGCAACCCACCCAACGGGCCCCAGGAACCCGACGTGTCACCACATGGTCCAGCGCCCACAACATTAGGCCTGGCCTGGATCTCACACTTAGTCCCAGGTGTCACTGCTCCAAGTTCTGGACACGTCCAGTTGACCACAGAGGGACACAAGGAACCCTGGCCTGAACTCGAGTACCATTTGGGACCCAAGCATCTGAGCCTCACAGACCTGGGTTGAGCAGAGGACAATGGGTCTTTGTCTTCCCAGGAGGCCCTGCTCAGCTTCCAGAGGAGAATGGCCCATTCCGAGCACCAGAGCAGCGGCTGGGGGCAAGGGAGTGGCCCTGACTCCAGGGGAGAAGAGAGGAAGGCTGGCCTCTGCTCTGCTGTGTGACCTTAGGCATATCACTGTCCTTTTTTAGCCCCCCCACCCCTTTGTAGAAAGAAAAGAGCATGAAAGGACCCCGAGGGAATATCTGGGTGCAGATGGGAAACCAAGGCTCAGAGTCTCAGTGAGGCAGGGTAGAGTCATCATGGAGCCCAGGCCACCTGTCTCTCAAGGGCTCAGAGGGTGGGTCCTACTGTGTCTCCTCACCTGTTGCTCTGCCTCAGGCCGTTGGACAAGAATAAGACGGAATGAATCACCAGGAAGAAGGAGGCTATGGAAAGGAAAATGGGGCTCCAGTCCCCTCCCAGAGCCCAGCCCTTTCCCTTCCTCTTTGGCTAAGCAACCTAGTGAGTCACGAGTTTCCACTGGGTTTGGTGCCAAGTTCAGTGCTGAGAAGGGACCCCCCCCCCCCCCGACACACACACACACACAAGCCATGCTCTTGGCTGTGAGGTCTTCCCCTGCTCTGTGTTTCTGTCTCCTCTGCACAGACGGACAGTCAAGGACAGGCAGACAGCCAAAACTCCCAAACAGATCAAACAGATGCAGGCACCTCCACAGATACAGATACCTAGTAAATAGGCAGGCACAAACAGGGACAGTCACAAGCTATACACACAGACATACCTGCCAACAAGCATACAAATATAGGTAACAATACACTGGCAAATAGACAATCCCACGACCAACAGACGGGCAGACCCACGACTAACGAGAAGCAACCTCCAGACAGATACATAGGTGCATAGCCGACAAGCAGACTCAGCCACATTCAAGCAGAAACTACCCCACAAACACAGCTACACTGATACACACACGCACACATAAATACACACACAACACAGGTTCACAGGGGTGGCCCACAGAGGCTGATTGGAGGCAAAGGACAGGCCAAATGTCCCTGGGCCAGCCCTCAGCCTCAGAACCCAACGGAAACTGATCTATGAAAGTAGGCACCCTGGTACCAGCTCTTCTGACGGCAACCTTCATCTCCTTCCCCAAGGACATGACCTTTACCCACACTGCTCGAGTGCAGTGAGGTGAATGGAGATTAGATATGAAAAGGGACTTCCCAACCAGGAGGGTGCTGAGACCTGCAGTGGGTGACCAAAGGTGACTGGAGGGGAAGGAGTGGAGTGGTGGCAGGTAGGGAGCCTGCATTCCGGCTGTGTGACCTCAGACAGAGCTGACCTTCTGAGCCTCAGTTTCCTGTCTAGGTTTTGTCTCAGGTCCCCACAGGGAGCAGATGGGCCAGCTCCTGGGTGTGCCAATGCCAATGCTGGGGCCCCAGGGCATTATTCCCCCCTTCTCCCCCCTTCCCCACTACTAGGGAAGGATCCTGTTGGTGACTCACTGTCTAGTCCCCTGGCAGGGGGTAACCCAGTCACAGATGCGTTTGTCCTGGTCCCTCCCCGCCCCAAGGAGCTGGCCTGCCAAGGATGCCCATAGGCTGGGGGAGGGACGCGGGGAGGTCACAGAGAGTGCAAAGGGAATCCCCAAGCTTGATGCTCAGTCCTACCTCCCCCGCCCAGGCCTGGGGATGGGGGTCGTCCAGGTGTAGTCTCGGTTGTCCTCCCTGCAGCTACACTGGCCTGAGCCCAGCCTGCGCGAAGAGGGGATTGTGCAACGGGAGGTAAAAGGTGACAGCAGCCTGGCGGGACAGAAGCCCCATTGTTTGGGGCCCAGGCCAGCCTGGGCAAAGGAAGGGTTTATGCCCCTGGACAGGAAGGGGGGCTCTGCGGGCGGGGCGGGGGAGAGGTGCCAGCTGGCAGAACTCCTGCCATTGGGCCCGGGGGAGGACAGGTGCCAATCAGGATGCCCTCAGGTTTACAAAGGGGAACGAGCCTGTGGAGATGCCCTGGCAGAGCCAGAGAAGGGTTGTAGGGCAGGGAGGCAGCTCCTACCCCACCCCACCCCTCAGGATGGTGAGCTGCTGGAGGAGTCTGCAGCCGCCTGGTCTGGATTCCAGTCGTTCCAAGGAGGCGGATGGCTTGGGGCGGCCCCGGGCCTCGGGCACTGTGAAGAGAGGTGTGCGTGGCTGTTTTTAGTGCTGAGGGCTCAGAAGGGGACTTAAGAGATATTTGCTCCTGGCACCCTTCCCATCATTTCCCAATCTTAGGTCCAAAACTCGGAGCCTGCCTCCGTCTCCCCTTCTGAGCCCCACGGTGAAGCCCGCTGGGAAGTCCTTACCAGTGTCAGACCACAATCCTTTCTCTTTCGGTTGGAGTTCCGCCCCCTAACGGAACAGCTTCCACTGGAGAGCAAGCGGCACAACCAGGCTCGCCGCGCCCTCCCAAGTCCCCGCTACTGGGTTACGGTGCCACCCCAGGTGCAGGAGCGGCTGGCTCCGCCCCCTGGCGGCCGCCCGGCAGGCTCGGGTGGGGCGGTACAAAAAGCGATCCCGCCCCTCGCTCCTCGCTTGACTTTGAGTGTCCAGCGGTCACAGGAGTCTGGTCACAGCAGTCCGGAGGCGGTGCGTGGGGCAGCCTGGGCCAGCCCACGCCCTTCATCAGGTAGGGACGTTGCCCTGCTCCGGAGGGAGAGGGTGTAGACAGATGGTACAGAGAGGAGGGGGCAGGTGGAGGCACAGCACAGATGGCAGAGTGGGAGCGTGGAGTGGTCAGAGGGACACAGAGAACAGAAGAGGGGAGGACCCACATCAGGGATGGAGGCTGAGGCAGGGGCAGAGGGACCCAGGACAGGAGAGACCTCTGGTCCAAACTATGGGTGTTGAGTGGGTGGGCACCAAGAATGCCACAATCCCCACCTCCTGCCCCAGGCAAGTCAGGGAGAGGCTTCCTTTCTTGCCCAGTCCCCTTCTCCCTATAAGCTAAGGCACATAAAACTGTGGCTCATCTGCCCATGTCCTGCCTAGGGACACAGGAATCAGGGTCTCTGATCCTGCTAAATCCTTTTGGATTCACAGTCCCAGGAAGCTTGGAAATCAGTCTGTGCGGTGCCAGGGAGTCTCTGCTGCCCAGCGCCTCGGACCCCTGACCTCTACCCTCCCTGAGCCCAGGAGGCACCATGTGGAGATGTCCACAGGGGCTGCTGCTGTTGCTGCTGTTGGCTGCTGAGTTGGCCCTGGGTGTCCGGCGGGGTCGTGGGCGCCGGGAGCTAGCACCAGCTCTGCACCTGCGGGGTATCCGGGATGCAGGCGGACGGTACTGCCAGGAGCAGGACCTGTGCTGCCGAGGCCGCGCTGACCACTGCGCCCTGCCCTACCTGGGCACTACCTGTTACTGTGACCTCTTCTGCAACCGGACCATCTCCGACTGCTGCCCGGACTTCTGGGACTTCTGCCTCGGCGTGCCACCCCCTTTCCCCCCCAGCCAAGGTGGGCACCACACAGCCAGGGGTGTGTTGCTTTTTCAGCCCCAAACCCAGCAAGGCTCGAGCAAGGCTGATGCATTGACATTTCCAGGGGAGGCTTTGTAGAATCTGGGAAAGAAACCCCACCTCACTCTCTGTGCCTCTAGGAAGTCTCTACTCTGGTCTAACTTGAATCTCTTCAGCAAGACTGAAAGAGAGAAGACCCTTGGTCAGTGGGATTCTAAGTTGGCCCTGGAGAAGGGCAGCTTCCTGCTCTTTCTCCCAGTCCTGTTTCATATTCCGGACACGGAAGGTGCTGGTCCCACCCGCTGACTCACCCTTAGGTTGATAAAGCACACGGGTTAGTCAGGGTCATCTTAGCCATTCCTCTGTCTGCTCAGGATTCTCTGCCGCTGAGATGGCAGGTCACACCTGGGAGATGGGTCAAGTCTGCTCCTGCCGTCAGCCCTTGCCACCTGCCTTTCCCCGTGCACTTGCCCGTGCCCACTAGAATACTTGAATTCCTCCCCACAGCTTCATGGGACTATGGGTGTGGGGCTGCGTACTTGAATTGTCATCCCAAAGTGCTGTGTTGTTCTAGTGGAGTCACTTGTCTTCTCTGGGCCTCAGATTCCCCATGTACACTGCCCCCATCTCCAAGCCCCAATTTGTTTAAATGCAAAGGATTAGGAGTGTTGTGGCTGGCAGAGAGAAGCAAGAAGGATCTAAGTCGGAGTCACTGATGAACTTCTGAAGGAGCACTTTGTGTGTGACCCTGCAGGAGATGTCTTAAGTTATAGTTTGACTTTAGTTTCAGTGAGGGCTGGTGTGTGTGTGTGTGTGTGTGTGTGTGTGTGTGTGTGTGTGATGTCCATGTTTCTGGACACCTGACCTTTGAGGACTTGGCCATCTCGGCCCATCACCTCTGATCTCAGTCCTGTTTCTCTTCTCCCTCTCCCTCACCCCAGGATGTATGCATGAGGGTCGCATCTATCCAGTCTTGGGAACCTACTGGGACAACTGTAACCGTTGGTGAGTGTCTGGGGCTTGGAGAGGGCAACATTGTAGGATTCGTGGCTGGCAGACTTGGTTCAAACCCTATCCCTGTCACTTATGTGCCGGGGGCAACTCCTTTCCCTGCTCTGAGCCTCGGTTTCTTCATCTGAAACACGGGAATTTTAACTTATATAAACAACATCCTAACAACATTCCCCAGGGGTGACCAACCATGGATACTGACTCCAGGTGGGGCCCTGAGCTGAGAGTCATTCCTGGCCCCTCCTGGCTCAGGCTGGGCTACTGCCCTTCCCAACCTTTCTCCATGTCACGGGAGAGTCCGAGAAGGGGGCGCCAGGAAGGAAACCTCTGACTGCAGCATCCGCTGCCCTGGACCGGATGAGGGTCAGGGATGGCTGAGCTGGAGGTCAGCCAGCCTGTCGCAGGGCCTTCCCTGGAATGTGGCCCCTCTCCCTCCTTCACCCCTACCATTCCTGACAGGAGGAGGAAGGGGTCAAGAATGCCCCCTGTCGAACCTGAGCTGGGAAGTGGAGCAGGGTGGGTGAGAAGCCTTGACTGCCTCAGCGGAAATAACGGGGACCCTCTGACCGAGAGGAGAGAGCCCTGCACCCACTCCACCCCCTGCCTCTTTGCCTGAGGGACCCCAGAGAGAAGGAAATCGTTTGGAATGTGTTACGTATAAGCTGTTTCCATTGCCTCGCTGGTGTGAGGGTGCTGGATGAGCATGTGTCTGGGTGAGAGAGTGTGTGTGTGTATGAACTGTGTGTGTGTGTGATCTGTGTGTGTGTATGAGCTGTGTGTATGTGTATGAACTGTGTGTGTGTATGAACTCTGTGTGTGTGTCTATGAACTCTGTGTGTGTGTATGAATTATGTGTGTGTGTATGAACTGTGTCAGTGTGTGTATGAACTGTGTGTGTGTATGAACTGTGTGTGTGTATGAACTGTGTGTTGTATGAACTGTGTGTGTGAGTGTGTGTGTGAACTGTATGTGTGTATGAACTGTGTGTGTATGAACTGTGTGTGTGTATGAACTGTGTGTTGTATGAACTGTGTGTGTGAGTGTGTGTGTGAACAGTATGTGTATATGAACTGTGTGTGTATGAACTGTGTGTGTGAGTGTGTGTATGAACTGTGTATGTGTATGAACTGTGTGTGTGTATGAACTGTGTGTGTGAGTGTGTGTATGAACTGTGTGTGTATGAACTGTGTGTGTGTATGAACTGTGTGTTGTATGAACTGTGTGTGTGAGTGTGTGTGTGAACTGTATGTGTATATGAACTGTGTGTGTATGAACTGTGTGTGTGAGTGTGTGTATGAACTGTGTATGTGTATGAACTGTGTGTGTGTATAAACTGTGTGTGTGAGTGTGTGTATGAACTGTGTGTGTGTGTATGAACTGTGTGTGTGTATGAACTGTGTGTGTGAGTGTGTGTATGAATTGTGTGTGTGTATGAACTGTGTGTGAGTGTGTGTATGAACTGTGTGTGTATAAACTCTGTGTGTGTATGAATTGCGTGTGTGTGTATGAACTGTGTGTGTGTATGAACTGTGTGTGTGTATGAATTGTGTGTGTGTATGAACTGTGTGTGTGTATGAACTGTGTGTTGTATGAACTGTGTGTGTGAGTGTGTGTGTGAACTGTATGTGTATATGAACTGTGTGTTGTATGAACTGTGTGTGTGAGTGTGTGTGTGAACTGTATGTGTATATGAACTGTGTGTTGTATGAACTGTGTGTGTGAGTGTGTGTGTGAACTGTATGTGTATATGAACTGTGTGTGTGTGAACTGTGTGTGTGAGTGTGTGTGTGAACTGTATGTGTATATGAACTGTGTGTGTGTATGAACTGTGTGTGTGAGTGTGTGTATGAATTGTGTGTGTGTGTGTGTGTGTGTGAAAGAGAGAGCATGCCTGCGTGCTTCTGCCAGTCCTGAGAGGACACTGTTAACCCCTCTGGACACTGAGGGGTTAACACTCTCACGCCTATCCCTGGGGCTGGGCCACCCCAGACCCCCTCTGGAATGCTGGGACCTGTTGTCACCAGTCCAGTCTAGACCTGCTTGGGCAGCCCTAGGGGCAAAGGAAAGTTGACAGGCAAGGACTGACTAGCCCACTGCCCACCCGGGCCAGCTCTGGACAGCTGTGTCCCTGTGCCTGGCACCTGAGGGAGGTGTGGGGCAGTGCCTGTGGGGATGAAGGATGCTTCGGAGAATCCGGGTGGGGGAGAAGGGAAGGAGGAGTAGGCCCCTGTCCCGCAGTCCCTTCTGGCCCTCCCTGAAAGGCCCCGCCCACTGCTGGGCCTGGAGAGCCCAGCCATATTGGGTCTTGCTTCCCCCTTGAGGCTCCTTAAAAGGCAACATTGGAGGCGGGAGCCTCGGGCGGACTTGGAAGAAAGCAGTTTAGCATCTTGGAATAGCAGAGCTATGAGCATCGAAGAATTCATAGAATTCAACTGTTCAGTCGACGCCTATTTTTCAAAGACCTACTATGTGCAGCCCAAATGCACGACGGGTCCATGTCCTTGCCATGAAGCCTCCAGTCTGGTGGTGACGAACCAGAGACACAAACAACGTGGTGCTGCAGCCTCTTTAGGGGTGACGGGAAGAGAGAGAATAATGGGGGTTCAGGTCCAGACTGGGGTGGGGCAAGGGAAGGCCATGAAGGCTGACGCCGGGCAGACGCGGGGCCCAGCGGGGCCCTGGGAGGACAGCCTGTGGGAAGGCCAGGAGGTGACCTGCTCGCTGCAGCTGGGGCTGTGAGATGGGCGGAGAGGCCCAGGAGGTGCAGGCCACTTCCCAAGAGTCCAACAAGCTGGGGCGAGGATTTTGTGTTTTGTTCTAAGTGTGTGGGAAGCCACTTAGAGAACACATAGTCTGATTTACGTTCTTCAGAGCTCTCTCTGGCTTCAGAAATGGGTGTGTGGGGGAGCCTAAAAAGGCAGGGAGCCCGCTTAGGTGAGAGGTGACAAAGGACGGGAGTACTGGTGGCAGCGGAGGGGTGACAGAGAGAGGGACTCAGAGGCTTTCCGGGTGATCGAGGAGGCGGGGGGTGGGGCCGAGACACCACGGGCCACACTGAGTTCTGGCTTCAGCACGTAAGGACGGGTACACTTCTCCGAGTTGGGATGTTAGGAGAGGAGCGGGTTTGGGGAAAGGCAGTTTGGCCATGGAAGTTGGAGGTGACTTTTACACACCCAGAGGAGCTGTCAGGAGGCCAGTTGGATCTGCGTCTGAAACTCCCGAGGGTTTCGTAATGAGAACAATAATGGTCGACGACAATTCTCCAGCGCTTAAGCAGGGCCCGGCCTTGCACCGATGCCTGGCAAGTCTGCCACTACACCCCTAAAAGGTGCGACTGTCATTGTGCTCGTTTTACAGACAATAGTTTAAGCAAACAACTTACCTGAGGTCACGTGCCTAGTCAGCTAGGATGGGAAGCCCAGATCTGAATGTCAGAATCCATGCTCTTTCTTAGTCACTTCGCTATACTTCCTCATTCATTCATTCAACAAATATTTATTGGGTGCTTACTATGTGCTAGGTTTTGTTTTGTATGCACTGAAGATACCAAATAATACCTGGCCGCAAGGACCTTAGAGTCTATGAGGAAATAGGTATAAGGAATAGAAATAACTAAATATGTAGTATGCAGATATTGATGGCGTGCCAAGGGGGAACATGAAACAGGGAAGAGGGATAGGAAGCATGGAGGATGTTGAATTGGAAGGTAGGGTGGCAGGACAGGCCTCCCTGGGGTGACATATCAATGAAAAGCTGGAAGAAGTGAGTGAGCCATGGGGTGTTGGAGGAGGAACAGCTCCAAGGCCCGGGGGCAGGAGCCTGGCTGGTGCGGACAGTCAGAGGGCCGGCCTGGCTGGGGCCTCAGGAAGCAGGACTGGGAGGAAGGGGTCAGAGAGGGGACCAAAGGGCAGATCACGCAGGGCCTCGCTGGCACCGTGAGGACGTTGGCTCGTGTTCTGTGATGTGGAGCCAGAGGACGTGGGGGCAGAGGAACGACATGATATGACTTGGGGTTGCAGGATCGCTGGCAGCTGTGTTAAAAATACACCGAGGGGGGTGCCAGGCAGAAGTGGGGAGAAGAGTGAGGCGACCGCAGCACAGTCCAGGTGAAAGGTGATCGGACGCGGGTCTGCGGGAAAGAGTGAGACGTGGTTTGGATTCTGGGTGTGTTCTGAGGTAGAGCCAACAGGATTTTCTAAGGACTGCGTTAGCGAACAGGAGAGCGCCGGGCTTTGGGCCTGAGTTCCGGGAACGACGGTGTGGCCCTCTTCTGGAGACGGTGGGAGGAGCAGGCATGGAGCAGGGGACATCAGGAATTCCGTTTGGGATGTGTCAAGTCTGACCTGTTGGTAGACACCCCAGTGGTGATGTTGAGTAGCAGCAAGATTCTTGAATCCGGAGTTGAGGGAGAGATCCTGGTGGATATAAACTTGAGCATCGTGAACTTGAAATTAACATTTAAAACCACCAGGCTGGATGGGCTCATCCCCTCACTTCTTCCTTCCCTCCTGTCCCCAGCACCTGCCATGAGAATGGACAGTGGGCGTGTGATCAGGAGCCCTGCCTGGTGGACCAAGACATGATCAACGCCATCAACCAGGGCAACTATGGGTAAGAGGCCCTGGAAATGCCCTGGTGGGCACACGTGCATGTGCACACATAACACGCGTACATTGTGCCCGAGATGCGTGTCCTGCCAGACGAAGCCACACTCAGATTTTATTTAGGTGGACACCAGTGCACGTCTGTCCCACCCACATGCTCCTACCTCCGGGACCCCCAGCCTTAGAAGGCCTGTCACTGCTACCCCCTTTCTTTCAGGTGGCGGGCTGGGAACCACAGTGCCTTCTGGGGCATGACCCTGGATGAAGGCATCCGTTATCGCCTGGGCACCATCCGCCCATCTTCCTCCGTTACCAGCATGAATGAGATTCACGTAAGTCCGTTCTCGCCCACACTCCTGCCATTTCATGGCCTAGGGTCTCAGGAATCCTGGCACCCTGAGTCCTATTTGTTCAGGGGCCTGGGCTATCCCTCTCCAATGGGCCGTGTGACACTGGACAAGTCACTCTCCTTCTCTGGGCCTTCAGTTCTTGCCTATACCAAGGTGTGCCGCACCAGAAGATCCGGTGCTCAGATTCCGAGTGTTGCGGTTCCAGCCAGAGCCCCTTCGTGGCCTCCCCAGCCTGGGAAAAATGCTGTTGGTCCCAGTACGGCTGGGTCAGGGCCCAAGGGGCTAGGAGGTCACCTTGGTATTTTGGGAAGGGAAAAACAGACACTCCTCCAGCTCTGGCCAGAGAGCAGCAATTCTCAGAAACAACGCAGCGGAACCCCGAGGGAGAGGGGGCTTCTCCCTTCCCCCTAGTGGGACCCTCTTGGGGGAAACTCTTGGGAACCAGACTTGGAACAGTCAGCATGAGGAAGCGGCACTTTAGAGCCGGGGCTGGGGCTCCGCCGGAGGCTCCATCTCTCCGCGGTGCGCTGGGAGGAGCCGGGACTGGCCGGGTGGCTCTCCCTGAAGAGGGACTTGAGCTCCAGGCTGGGGGACCCTGCCCCTGCCCTGCCCTCACCCGGGGGCCTCTGCTGTGTGCTTCTTGCTGTTTGCCTTGGCAGCCTGCTCAGTCTCAGGACCTCGCTGCTTCTTCCCTCCCCTGTCCTCAGTGGCCTGAAGCCCAAGGTCCTGGTGGGAAGGAGGATGTCAGATTGGAAAGTGCAGAGGAGGAACGAGGGGTTGAGGATGAAAAGCGGGGTGACTGGCCTGGCCACTTCGCTCTTCCTGGCCTCAGTTGTCTCATCTGTAAAACAGGACTAGTCAGCCGCCTGACACTGGGGAGGCACTAAGTGCTTGGTCTCCCCCTCCAGTCAACGTGGAGTTGCTGGGACCCTTCCACAGCAGGAGGCTCCACATCAAACCGCAGGAGGCCTGACGCTGGGGGCCCTCCAAGGCCACAGGCCTCGGAGGGGCAGGCCGGGCAGAAGCAGGAGGCGGACCGGGTGACTTTTGCCTTGCAGACAGTGCTGGTCCCAGGGGAGGTGCTGCCCACAGCCTTTGAGGCCTCTGAGAAGTGGCCCAACCTCATCCACGAGCCCCTTGACCAGGGCAACTGTGCCGGCTCCTGGGCCTTCTCCACGGCAGGCGAGTCCAGGGCAGGGCTGGCGCGGTGGGAAAGGGGGGCCGAGCCCGAGCCCTCTGACGGCCTTTCTGCTCCCTCCCACCAGCGGTGGCATCCGATCGCGTCTCAATCCATTCTCTGGGGCACATGACACCTGTCCTGTCACCCCAGAACCTGCTGTCCTGTGACAAGCACAACCAGCAGGGCTGCCGCGGTGGGCATCTCGATGGCGCCTGGTGGTTCCTGCGACGTCGAGGGTGAGCAGCAGGGCCGTGGGCGGGGACAGGGCGAGCGCGGGGGCCGGGGGCAGGCCGTGCTCACTCTGCCCTTGCTCCCTCCTGCGGCCCCTCCAGGGTTGTGTCTGACCGCTGCTACCCATTCTCGAGCCAGGAAAAGAATGAGGCTGGCCCTGCTCCCCGCTGCATGATGCACAGCAGGGCCACCGGGCGGGGCAAGCGTCAGGCCACTGCCCACTGCCCCAGCCACCAGGTCCATGCCAACGACATCTACCAGGTCACTCCTGCCTACCGCCTGGGCTCCAGTGTAAGTCTGCACTGGATGAGGGGCAGCTAGAAGGCTGGCCAAAGGCTGGAGCCTCACCCCTAATGGATACTCTCCTCCCCACCCCGCCCTCCAGGAGAAGGAGATCATGAAGGAGCTAATAGAGAATGGCCCTGTCCAAGGTACGTGCCTCTGTCCTGCTCCCTGATTCCAGGAGCTGAGCCTGCTTAGGACGGCATAGCAGCACAAGTGGTCTGTGCAGCACTGAGCAAGTCCACCGGGGCCAGACATGGGGGACCATGTCCCCTACCCATGGGCAGCACTTGGAGGGGGCACTTAGACTCTTGGTAGGAGAGGCCCCAGGACCAGGGCATGCATCTCCACTCAGGCTGCGGGGCCTGTGCTGACGGCTGGGCCGGCCCCCTTTGACCTCTGCCCACAGCCCTCATGGAGGTGCACGAGGACTTCTTCCTGTACCAGGGCGGCATCTACAGACACACGCCAGTGAGCCTTCAGAGGCCAGAGCAGTACCGCCGGCACGGGACCCACTCGGTCAAGATCACAGGGTGAGGGCTTTGGGGGACACAGGGGGTTGGGGGCAGCTGGGCTTACAGTGGGAGCTCTGAGTCTGTCTTGAATCCAGACCATCCCTCTGCAAAGCCCCGTTTCAAAGAGGAGGAAACTGAGGCTCAGAAAGAGGAGGGGCTTACCCGAGTCGCACCGAGTGGAGTGCCTTGAAAGGTCCCGAGGGCCCGTTCCTGCCTTACACCCCGGGATCAGATAGCTCCCGTGGGATGTAGACAGGGTTCCGAGCTGTTCAGCCTCTCCCCATCTCAGCACCTGTTCTCCACTCCGCCCGCTCAGTGACTCGCTTCCCCAGCCTCCAGTAACAGGAGCTGTTCGAGTCGCTGATCCCCACTGTCCAACCACTGAAAGTACCGTGCCGTGGGCGCGTGGGGTCTCTGAGGTGCCCGCGTCCCCTGAGTCTTCCTTTTGGTCCCTGGCACCCACCCTCCTTGGCTCCCCAGATGAGGAGGGAAGGCAGGCAGAGTGTGAGGTTCCAGAAAAATGGTCCACAGGATGGGGGTCCCTGCGGGATGGAGGCCCATTTACCCCCTTTTCTGCACACCCCTCATCTATCCCTTCTGGTGCCTGCCCCACACTGGACTCAGGTACACAGGCTTAGATGTGGAGGCTGAGGGGGGGCAGACAGGGACAGAAACCTGCCGAGTCCTAAGGGTGTGCCCGGGTGGCCCTGGAGGGAAGGCCGGGGCTGGAGCCCTGAAAGCAGGTGGACTCAGGCCCTGGGCTCTGCCCGGTTCTGGCCCGCAGGTGGGGAGAGGAGTCGCTACCTGATGGAAGGACGCTCAAGTACTGGGTGAGCCCCTGCACTGCGAGCCTGCAGCCACTGCCGCCCCCCCCAGCCCCAGCCCCTGCTCACGCCTCTCCTCCTTCCCAGACCGCCGCCAACTCCTGGGGCCCAGCCTGGGGTGAGAGGGGACACTTCCGCATCGTGCGTGGAGCCAACGAGTGCGACATTGAGAGCTTCGTGCTAGCTGTCTGGGGCCGTGTGGGCATGGAGGACATGGGTCACCGCTGAGGCAACGGGCTCCATACCCGACCAGCCGCAGAAGAGCCCCTGTGGAGTGGTGCCCCCAGCTCCACCCGCCTGCCCTACGGATCGATGGGTCATGTCCGGACACAGGCAGGCGCCAGGGGACTAATCCTCGCAGGTTCTGCTGACGCAGCGCCCGCCTGGGAGCTGCGGGCAGACGAGGCTGGTGGAACCCCCAGACTTCCCAGCGGGTACAGGACAGAGCCTGATCTGGGAGAAGCCAGCCTGCAGACCCCAGGTCCCCAGCCCCCCCACGCAAGACCACTGAAGCCAGGACACTACCAAGTCTCCAGCCCCACTACCCTTCCCACCTCTGTACTCTTGTTTTACAAAGATATTTATTTTTCTTTTCACTGTTTTAAAGTAAAAACAAAGTATTGAAAACTCTAGTAACTTGAATTCCTGGGAGTGGAGTGGCATGTGGTCAGAAAGCAGAAAGGACTGCCTGAGCCTTGCTGGCCGGCAGGGGTGTGAGGGCTGACACTGTGGTCTCCATTCAGCCCTAATTGTCAGTGGCCCTGGGCACAGACCCACTTGGAAGTGGAGCATGGATGGCATGACCTTTGACTCCCAGAGAGTCGTGAGCCCGTGGGAACCACCTTTCAGACGCTGAGTCAGCATTGCCTGAGTGGGGAGGGCAACCCACCAATCAGCAGAACTGGCGCCAGTGCCCAGCAGGCAAGGGGGGCACAGCCCCACCGAAGCTGAGCCTCTGTCTCCGCACATCAGCCTCTCCAAGCCACCCAGGCGAGGGGGCCCCTCTCCTTCCCCTGGGCTAAGCTGAGCCTGCCTCTCCAAGCGTTCTCTCTACCCCACCTTCCCGGGCTCCCAGTGCCAGCAAAATAAGCTCAGGTCTCAGCCTGGCTTTCAAGGCCATCAGGACTCACCTGACCAGCATCCTCCCCCTGAGCCCAGGCAACTCCAGAGTCCTCACTGCTCCTCAGATGTCCAGTGCAATGCAGACCACTGGGCATTTGCACATGCTACCCAGTCCAGTTACCTTCCATTCTACCCACCCCTTGTCCCTGTCCCACTCCCATTTCAAAGCCAGCTCCACCTTCATACTATGGAGGGCAACTGATGTTTCCCCAAACTACCCCCACCTCACCTAGCATGGCGTAGACACCCCTCCCCGAACTCACCTGCACCCTGCCCTTGCACCCAGGATTTCACTTATCTGGGTGTCTATTTACTCCCTCCAATGCCAGTAGTTTCCTGAGGGCAGGGGTTGGATGTGGTTCATTAGTGGGTCCTGGTACCCACACGGACACCCTGGCATGAAGTGGCATTACAGTTTGTGAAATGGCTGAGTGGATATGACCCATTTTTTCCCCTTCACTGCCTCCAAGACCTGGACTCCAGCCCACCCCTCGAAGCACAGATGTCAATAGGGAGCCCCTGCCTTTCCTGGAGCCCCGGGAGGCCGTGGGGGGGGGGCTCCCCACAGCAGGAATCTTCGCACTCACACCCCAGTCGCTGAGGGGAGCAGGCGGGGAAGTCCTCCTCCCTGGCGTGCAGCCCCTTAGGACCGGAGTACCCCTGGCCTTTCAGGCATCACTTGAAAGGAATGCGGGGGCGGAGGGTCCCCCATAAGGGGCCGCCTTTGTCTCATTTCCTGTTTGCCAGGACGTCCCGAACCGGCAGCCCTGGCCGGCCCGCCCATCCCCAAGGAACCAAGGCCAGCCAGGGACCCTGGGGAGACAACGGGCAGGCAGGGACCCCCACCAGGGAACGTGGGGGCTGCTGCTCACCACCCCTCTGGCTACAGCTGCCAGGACACACCCACTGCTCTCGCCTAGCTGGGAAAACCCTGTCCGGCAGCTGCTTGGCCGGGTGAGGCTGGAATTTTCTGCAAGGACCTTTGGCAGAAGCTACGTGCCGTTGGGAACAGGAGGGCAATGAGGGCGCAGCAGAGTCTTGAGGCTCCAGGTCCACCAGCCCTGTAGGGAGGCCAGGCCCTGTGGATCCCGGGGGAGTCAGGCTGCCGTTCCTTAGTCCTGTTCCCGAGTCAGGCAGCCCCAGGCCCGTCCAGCCCTGGAGTGGAGGAGGGTTCGGGTGGGACTTCGAAGGGCTTACCCCTGCCTAAGTAATCTCCACCGGCCACCCTTGGTTCTCTGATGTTAGTGATGGACGTGCTGTTACAGAGAGTCTGGCAAACATCAAGCCCCACCCCACCCCAACCAAATTACTGCCCTTGAGTCCGTCTCTATGAAATGCTGGTACCCATCCCTTGCTGTGGTGTGTCCTGAGGCTAGTCCTCCCTCCCTCGGGCCTGGGCATGGGTCATTAGACAGAGCTGGGCTGAGCCCCTGCTCTGTTTGTTCCACAATGGCTCTGCAGTCTGGCCTCTCAGAGCCTGTTTTCCTGACTTTCCTGGGGCTAATAGTGCAGTCCTGGACACTTAAGGAGGGGACTACGTTCTGAGAAACTCGTTAGGTGATTTCGTCATTGTGCAAACATCACAAGCGCACCCACATAAACCTACGTGGCTTAGGCGGGATGCTCTAGCCTATGGCTCCTGGGCTACAAGCAAGTTACCGTGCAAAACAACATGCAGTCAAATCAAGCACAAGAGAAAATGGTGCAATCAGGGGACCCGGTAAACAAGAGGAGAGGCTACTGCCACGTAACGCAGCTACTGTTTGACAGCAAACATCTTTATAAGTAGAAAGAGTACACTTCAAAATAAGGATAATGCCCTGGTCGGTTTGGCTCAGCAGTTAGAGCATCGGCCCATGGACCAGAGAGTCCCAGGTTCGGTTCCCTCTAAGGGCACGTACCTCGGTTGCAGTTTGTCCCTGGCCCCGGTTGGGGTCGTGTGGGTGGCAACCACTCAATGTGTCTCTCTCACATTGATGTTTCTCTCTCTCTCTCTTCCTCCCTCTCTTCCTCCCTCTCCCTCCTGCTCTATCTGAAGATAAATGCAAAAATGTCCTTGGGTGAGGATAATAAAAAAAAGCATAGTATAGTAAGTACATGAAGCAGCAACACAGTCGTTTATCATCATCATGAGGTGTTACCTACTGTACATAGTTGTGTGTTTACTTTTACACAACTGGCAGTGCAGTAGGTTGTTTGCACCAGCGTCACCACAAACACATGACTAATGCATTGCACTAGAATGTTATGACAGCTACAGCGTCACTAGGTGACAGGAATTTTCAGCTCCATTATAATTTATGGGACCACTGTTGGATATGCCGTCACTGTTGACTGATACATCGCTATGAAACACATGACTGTACTCACCTCCTGGACTTGTTGGGAGGGTTACATGAGACAAAGCACGCAAAACATTTAGTACCATGCTTGGAACTTAGGGGCCCAATAAAGGTAACAGCTATAATCATTTTAAGGGGATTGGACTGACTTGACAATAATGGAAAGGCTTTTCCTAATAAGCTAAACATTTATTAAGTGTTTAACTACAATGCCACCACAGTGCTCTGACTGCTTTACATATATTATCTCCATTAACACTAAAAACAACCTATTTTCTTATTTTGCAGATAAGGAGTAGAAGCACAGAAGAGTCTACAGTTTGTTTAAGGCAGGATTCAAACCCAGACCATCTCAGTCCTCATACTAGGCAGTTCTGTATGAATAGTGGTTGATTGGTACTGATAGTTCAATGTCCCTTTCCAAATCCTTTCCCTGTTCGGCAAACTCTTATCTATCCTACAAAACCCAACTCAAATATCCCGTCACTTGAAAGCCTTTCCCGGTGTCCATCTTCTGGATCCTCAGGGACTTCAGCATGTAACCCTGGTACAGAGGGAGTATCTGTTGACAACTTTTCTTCCCATAAAGGGATAGGGCAGGAATTTTTTTACTTAGCCCCATCCTTTCCCGTCCACCAAATGCTCTGCTTAGGCCTTCATTCTAGTTTCATGTGGGGCTCTGCAGGATCCCAAGCACCTGACTCTAGTTTCCCAGGAGCTGCTAAGTTACATCACTGCATGAGTGCTGATGCCTCATATCTTCCTGGTATCTTGCCAACCCCCATCCTTGCCTGGTGCCCATTAAGGGAAAGGAATTCATGCCTACTGAGCCTGCAGTGGGCCAGGCCTTGGGCTGAGCTCTTCATACACGTTAGCTCCTTTGAGCCCATACACATCCCTGTAAGAAAGTGTATCATTAGAAACCAATGCCCACAAGCCAGGTGACTGTCAGAATCTAAGAGAGGGTGAGCTTCCACGTGGTGAGCAGGGTAGTGACGCAGGCACCGCTGGAATCAGAGACACAAGTTATGTCAGAACTACTGACTCTCTCCTGCTTTCTCTCTATAGACTAACTCCGCCATGAGGAAGGACACGTGGCCAGTGACATGTGGCCTCTTGAGCATCTCAGCCCACAGCCATTTTCTGATTCAAAACCAAACTCAACAGAACAGGGAAGGCTTCTGATTGGCCTGGCTCTGATTAGGTGTCCACCTATGGGCCAAGGGACAGGATCACGGAAGCCATGTCAGCCCTTGCTGAACTGGTGTTCGGAGAAGGAGGAGCTCCCCAAAGGAGAGGCCTCTATTCCAGGGGGAAGGAGGAATGTTGAGCAGGGGACAGAAACAGGTCGACAGCAGCCAGGACTGCTATGGCCACCATTGGACCGGTATGGAAATCAAGACTCATCAGGCCACCCAGCTGTAAGTGGTGGAGTTAGACACAGACCACATTGTTTGCACTGAATTCGTGTATCAGGCCAGAGAGATACCCTTTGCAGATGAAAGAGTGAGGGCTTCCTCCTCAGCTTCTCCCTGAGGTTTCACTTCTGGGCCCTGGGAAAGAACTTTCCTAGAATTCCATCCACCTCATGAAAATGCTGCGGCTCTGACACCAACACCCAAGTCGGTCTTCCCAAAGTAAAACAAAGCTGAGGATGAGCAGGTCTCAGGGGCGTATCCTGCTCCCTGCCCCACAGCACGGTCCCCGCCAGGAGATGCCGGGACAGGGTCATGTTGGTTTATAGATCGGAGAGATGGGTGTCGAGGGAGCCATACTGAAAATATGCACTCTAGCTAAGGACTATGGTCACCCCCCTTTCACCAGGAGGAAACTGAGGCTGGGGTAGGGGTGAAGGAAAGTGAAGTGACTTGCTCAAGGACACATTGCTAAGCAGTGGGAGGGACCTCAGTGGTCAGGCTCCAAAGCCCGGGCTTTCCCTGCTCTATGTCCAGGTGCACTCGCCTTCCCCCTTCATCTTGTACCCAAGCAGGCGCTTTGGCTTCCAACTCTGTGCACAGACGGCCGGAACCTGAAATGTGGGGTTCTCAGAAACTAGTGACTTGGTGGGG